ATATTCATGTAAACAGACAAATTTTTGAAAGGGGGGTAGAGCCATTTTCCCCCGCTTGTCTATTCCTAATGTATCAACTATTTGGAAAACTTGGTATGCTCAGCTCCCATAGGAGAAAAATAGGCATTAGATTTATACCTACTTTTTTTAAAATCAATCTCATAAGTGAAATGAAGAGAAATTTTTAAATTACAATTCATGTTTTCTTTATTCCATAAAAAAAAATATTTTAAAAATAAAAACGCGATTTCATTTATTTATTACATTTCAATTTTGTCAACTTCTCTTTCTGCGTCTTATTTTATTTAAGTTGAACATGATAATCTAGTGCCGTAAACGTAAAAAAATGGAGCGTATTACCTTTAGTTACCTTGTGAAAAAAGAAACGCGTTATTTGCTATTCAAAAAATTAACGAGTTACTCGTTATTTAAAAAAAAACAACTATATTTAAATATATTTTCCCCCCATAGATAATAAAAAAAGTATATAAAATAAGTTAATTTTTTAATAAATTTTCGTTTATTTTTGACAAATCTTCAAAATTTTGATCAGACAAACAAGAGTGCTTAGTGCTCATTACAGCTTTCGCTGTGCTAAACACGTTTAACTAGCGCAGGGGATGGAAGCAAGAATCTTCATTCAGATTCCCATCAATTTTTTCTAGTGTTGTTAAAGTTACTTTTGAAATATAACTAGTTACAGTTACAAGTTACATTATCAAAAATATAACTAGTTACTAGTTATATTTTTACAAATGTAACTAGTTAATAGTTACAGTTATTTTTCAAAAGTAACTAGTTATATTATAAGTTACTTTATACATCATTCATATAACGCATTTATTTACTGAACGAATTTATTTAATATAAAAAAATTATGATATACAAATTATAATCATTTGTTTAAAAAAAATATACAATTTATTTATATAAAAAAATAAGTAAACCGAAAAAAATATCGGAAAATAGAATATTTATATTTACATCGAATAAAAATATTCTATATATTTGCATTGAAGAAAAACATATTTATTTTTCATAAAAATTTGAGTTTATTGCTTTTAACAACAATTGGATTTCAAAATTTTTATCTAGGAGACGCGCTCGTTTCTCTCCAAAGATGAGCTTCCCTAGACTGAATAAACGCTCTACAAGAGCACTTGATGCAATAACAACATTTATTTAATAAAAAATATTTTTAAATTTGGAAAATCGTCATATAGAGATAATTTGCTGTTATTGGATTTAATAAAATTTTAATTTTCAATAAATTTATCATTATCAATAATATTTTGACGCTTTAAATGAAAAAATCCAACTACATCTAATGATGTTTGTTGAGAACATGAGCCATTTGTGTTAGATTCACCGCGAGGTATTAAAGTATTTATTAAATTTAAAATTTCCATCTTTTTTGATCTAATCTTTTTTTGCCTTATCCAAGGCCAATCAGTTTTAAATAGTGGATGAAGAATAGCAGCAATTATGTTATCATTATCATAAAGATCATGAAACCTCTATCATTGTATTATTAATTTATAAATAATTATTTAATTTAAGTTACCTTTTTTTAATACTAGCTAATATAGCATCTTTTAAAGGTTGACAATATTTTAATTCTTGAACATCTTCCATGCAGATAAGTATCTATGTTATTGTTGGGGTATAATAACCTAGATACATATATTTTTCCCCTTCTAGTATAACAATAGCTTTAGCTACTGGTTGCATAATCTAATTTTTTTAATTGAAAAATAAGACATTAATTTAAATTTACACTGCAATATTCTTTAATAAAATAACGATCGATCTTGTGATGTAATCTACACAATTCTAATTCATCACATAATAAATCGAAATCCAAAGGCATTTCATTTGTAAGTGATAATATTTTAGGCTGAGAATGTAATCTCTTTTTAATTTGTTCAGCTAATGGCCCAGATTTTTTTTGTGTATTCCACAAACGTTGACATTTAGATATAGCAACCTTATACACTTTCCTATAATCCTCATTGTTTAAAAGTATTTTATTCGCATCTTATGTGCCACTAAGTTTAATGTGTGACAGGAACATTTTCGATGCCTGGGTAGGTAGTCGAAGTCATTTATATTATAATTGGTTAGGCCAGAGGAAGACATTATATCTTCTATTGAAATGTTTTCAATATCTGAATATTACTACATAGTTTGTTCCATTTAAATTAATAAGATTTATTAGGTTATATGGGTCACTTCCAGTTTGGTCCAGAATTAAGAATTATCTCTTTACCAATCATCTAAATTTACATACAACACTTCTTCATTTCAACAGACTTTTCTTCCATATAAAGATACTAGTATCAAAAAATTGTATCATGAAATTAATTTACTTAAGACATATCCTTGTACATTTAATATTATTATGTACCATATCGCTTTCATTATCAAAATCAACTAATCCGATTGGAAATTATTTTAGTAGATGTTGCATGGTATTTTTGAAATCCTCCAATATTAAAAAATAGGATTATTTATTCTAATCAATATCAATTTACCCACCAAAGTTCCTTGAATCATAAACGCGAAATGTTTTAAGGATAATTTTATACTTATTGCTATAATGTAAGCATGAAACCTTTATTTGATGTGATAGAAAATAAATTATCTGGTCTCTCTCACACATGGTTGTAAGTAAGACGTTTTGTTAAGTTTTTACCTCAATAAGTTCCCCCCCCCCCCAAAAAAAAAAAAAAAAATTAAAAAAAAGGTCTTTATATCATAAAAAGTAAATTTTGACAAATATTCTGAAATGCTTAGAATTTTTTCCAATCATGATAAAAAAATACTGAAAGCGGAGAATTTTTACTGATGAGATTATTTATAAAAATCATAGAAGATTTTGCTAATAATTATGTTTAATTTTCTCAGAATTTTTTTTATTAAATTTTTCGAGTTAATATTTTTTAAAAATTTTTCTAAATTGTTGAGTAAATGGAAAAGGGAATAATTGTTTCTCTAGAAAATTGTTGTTCCTTAATCGGAACCCAGAAAATAAAACCTGAAATGTAAATTATATAAGATAATTTAAAAATTTGATCGTCATACTAGTCCTCAGATCTAGGTCATGACAGGGGGGGGGGGTGTTAAAAACATTTTTTAAATTTTGACAAGAGTATTTAAATCAAGGATAATAAAAAATAATTTAAAAAAGTGGTTATTATTTTAATTCTGAGATTTAATAAGTGTCTTATTCAATTTTCTTATTTTGTAAATTGCGAAAAAATTTTGGCCCGGCCATAAACCTGCCATATTCTTAAAGTGAGGTGGGATTATCAAGGATACTCTTTAAAATATTCATAAGAATATTGACCCTTTATTTAAAAAATTTAATGACTTTTATTGAACTCTTAATTATAAATATTGACCTGACTCCCGTTATCGGGCGGGCTTGCTGTTATTTCTCCAAACCTCAGTTAACTTCTGGTGCACTTCAGAAGGATTCTTAAATCATGCTCCCGTTGATAGAACATCAAAGATCGACTTGCTCTTATGGCCAGTCCCACCCCACTGCCAAATGTATAATATTCATAAGTTTCGTTTCTTTATCATTTTTATATTACACTGCTAGCTATTTTAAATATATCTGGTAGAATTCTTTATTAGTTCTAAATTCCCCTTTTTTTTTATTTAAAAAAAAGTACTAAAAAATTAATAGAGAGGAAGTTCTCTAAGTACAAGAAACTAATAACCAAAATATCTATAACTTTAGAATTATAATTGTAATCGACCTTAAAAGTGACATTTTTGAATTCCTGATGAGTTTATTCAAGATTTAAAATTAACATTTAAACCGAAATCAATATATAAATAAAGTTTTAGATTTGTAATAATTCAATTGATCATAATTGTCATTAATCGATAACAATACATTTACATAATAATAACTTATATGAATAAAATAAATATAGAATAATGTCCAATAAAACAAATATTTTGTTTGGTTAAAAAAAGAAGAAAATATATACTGGATTATTATATTAATTCATGAATATTTGTTTTATAACAAATAATTCAATTTTTGGCATAGAATATATTGAATTATATAAATATTTATATTCGAAACAAGAAAAGTTCATTACGCTTTCGGTGTATACCAAAAATAATTTGGTTATGCATAACACAGAAGTATAATTTATTCTCTAAGTCAAAAGTTTTTATGATAAATATATATTTTTTGTACCATTATACCATATTAAAAATTGGCTATTATTTAGTAAATAAGATATTGCAATTTATTTATACATTTTACAATATGGCAAATGTTAAAGAAACTGTCTGATGAATCCTAATTAATATTGCTGATAACTCGAATTACATTTAAAATTTATTAAAATAAGATATAGGATATTTACTTGTTTAATCTTATCTTACAATTTAAGGGAACTATTATGAGAGTGAGAGGCGCTATCGATCTCCGTTTGAGATTAGTGTTGCTGGCCCAATTTTTAAAAATGGTCTGAAGATTCTAACCAAAATAATATTATGTAAGCCTCGAGATTTGACAAATAGAAATCCAAACCCTTCCACGACCTGTGTGCAAAATCCCCAAGCTTGCATAATATTATTTTAGAAAACATCTTAATCTGGCTGTTTTAAAAATTGATACAAATCAGGTGGTTTAACAACACTATTTGAGATTCTGAAAAAATTAATTGTTAAATACCTATATAGTTTCCACAAATAAAAACAATAAAACTATGATAATTTTGCATATTAAAATTATCGTCCTTAATGAATTTTAATAATAAAGTTAACATTTAATTACGTCTTTAGTATTATTAATTATCAAAAATAAATAAATAATACGAATTATTTTAAGGAAAATATTGAATGAATTTTTAATTTGTAATGTTATGGCTACAAACACATCGAGTTATTTTTTTGTACTATATCAATTTTATTAATAATATAAATGTATTTTTATATCACAGTTAGATATTATATAGATTTACAATTAAAAAAAAATATTATATTATTTTTTAACGAAATGAATTGCGAATTTTTTTATTGCAATGCTAATAATCTTTGTTGAGAATTTAGGATAATTTTAGAGAACGCTTTGAAGACCGGGTAACGCGTCGTGTCATTTTGAAGCGCATTCACACAATCCCGCGCTTTTATAAGTTTTCGTGTTTCAATGTATATCAAACAAACATTATGTCGAGCCACAAACAGATGATTTAATTGTTCACCATCTTTTCGATTCACTATAGGATAGGAGTCTAAATGCCATACTTGATCTTTCTCGGGGTATATTTGGCTTGATTTTGCATCGAAGGATTCGGAAAGAAGTTTTATAGCAGATTCATAATCAAACAAAGCCTTGACAGGATCTTCAAGATCTCTATAATATATATCCCCAGAGAGTAATAAACCTTTGACGTGAGTGGGATACCATTTTAATAACCGATCCACAAAACTTTTAGACTCGTATAATATTGATTCTAATTTCTTGATTATGGTAAAAGTTCTTTTATCAACGTCTTTCAAACTTTTTATGGCACTTAATTTAAAATTGGTAACACTCTTTAACTGTCTTAAATTATCCCTCATTATCAAGGCGGCGTTATAAAGGCTACCCTGATGTGTGGGATTAAATTGTAACGAAGAAAGAATAAACTCTAAAGCCTTTCTATGATCTCCTTGATTAATAGACAATTGTGCTAAAAGATAGTAAGAGTGAGCCAATATTTCCACTTGCGCATTATGAACAGATTGAGGGCAATCAATTATTTTTAACAATTTCTCTCTTGCTAGGGATAAAGATGTGTCACCCAATCTTGATATATGATAAATAGCTGACCATATCAAAGACTTTGCATGACAGGGGTTTAGTATAAGCGAATCTTCTATGTGCTTTAGGAAGTAATCGTTGGTATCTTTATCCAAAAAATCTACGGCAACCTAAATAATTAAATATGACAATTAAAAAATGTTTTCTTCAATTTCCTATTTTTTTTTAATATAAGGGTTATATATTATAATTATAAGATATTATTTTACCTCGTATAAAAAATCTGATGTTTTTTGATCTCCGGTGTTCTGAATAGCTTTTAAATACTCCTTTTGACTCTGTGAATAGCTAATTATATACATAAATTTTATAATATTTTAAACAAAAATATTCATATAATTTACTTTTTCACGTGATGTAACATTTGCGCGAGTTTTAACCTGGCTTTGGTGTTATTTGGCTGCCAATACAAGGCTAACTCATAGTAATAGATTGCTTCTCGTGTCCTTATTTTATTTTTATTTATGACGTCTCCCATACCTATGTAGGCATCTATCCAATTTAAGGGTATTTGAAATGAAATTTTTGGATGTGTTTTATGAAAACTCTCAATAATATGATTCGACTTTTCTATATACATGGAACTCAATAGATCAACACCTTTTTTGTAAGATTTTTCGCAATCCTATGGGTATAAACAAAAGATTTAATAAATTCTAATATCGGTAGTAATATATTTGTTATATTCTGATTTACCGTTAAGAGGTTTAATTTGCAATATATTCTTCCGATATTAATAAAAGCTCCGACATCATCCGATTGATGTTTGATAGCTTTTTTATAGTGTGCTAAGGCATAATGTAATTTATTTTTCCTTTCCCAATAGTGCCCTAAATTATTCCATAATTTGGCATTTTGTGGTATAATTTTGATAGCGGATTGCATAAGGGCCTTTTCATTCATCCATTCAGTATTCCTTCGATAAGTTTTGAGGCTACAAACCAAGATCAAAAGATAGACCCAAAATGATCTATTCTTGAATAACCGAAATCTATTATTTTATGATATATTTAAATGTGGGAAATTTAAAATCATATCATATTTCTTTAATAAATAAATGAGCATTTTAAAAATTAAATTTTTTATAATAAAACTATCATTTAAATCAAAAATGATTATTTAATAACTTAAATGAAGTCAACATTAATTTATGAATTCCGAAACTGACTAAAAAACACAGACCGATGCTAGGAATGTACAAAATTCTTTCAGCTAAAACAAATCCAACTGGAAAAAATAGATTGCTAGCGGGAATATATGGCACGATCAAAAGCAAAAGTCCCTACAATTTAAAAAATATATAAATCCAATTATATTTTCTAAATTTTTACCATTAATATAAATTTTGACTCTTGAAGATTGGTATTTCCCTTAAAACCTTGAAATATATGGTAAATTGTTTTCCACAGCAAAATTAATATGATCGAATAAATGACGAGGGTCAATAAATTTCTGTGATCCATGAGTGTTAATAGTGAAATAGAGCCCATTGACCAATCACAACTTAATTTATAAGGAAAAATTAGTTTCCAAATATTAAGAGCTGCCAAATAATTGTAAGTAAGTTGTCTGACAGGAAACCTAGCATGGCTAGCTGGATTATCGAACCTATCAATATAAATATAATTAATTAGCTCATTAAAATATAAATCTTTTCGAGAAAATGTTTTTTTTAGATCGTTAGTATACTTGAAGAATTGAGGTAGTTGAGATCCCATAACCCATATTCTCATAAATAAGCACAGATTAAGAGAAAGTATCATACTTTTTATGCGAGAGGAAAATAAAGTTTTTACAACGAGTTGTTTGTCTTTATAATTATTGAGAAATATCTAAAATAATTATATTAAATATAAAATAAAATTAAAACAAGTTAGCAAAACATTTTAAAATTAAATTATCTAAGTATACACATATTTATCTATTATATTTAAATATTATGCACATACATTATATAAAATTTCATAGACTATCAGTATGCCAATAATTGTGATGCCTTGTTCTTTGCTTAGCATTGAAAACAATGCAAACATCATGCTAATGCTAAATTTATATGGTTCTAAAATATTGTTTTAATAAAGATAAAATAAGGAATTTTTATAATTGACTTGTGTAGGGATTTCGAGTGGCGTTCACGAAAAAGGTGAATGAAGATAGAAAGAAAAGACCAGCTAATATTTCACTTCTACCAACGATGCTAGTTACCTAATATAATATAAAGATATATAAAATATTAGAATTTTCATCACAAATATTTAATTATCCGCAAGCATGTTCTGAAAAATAATATAGTCTTAATAATATTGAAAATTCGCTTAAATAATTTAGCTCTAGATTATAATGAACTTTCTAACTAATGATTATAAAAGTATGAGGCCTATACTATTCTTCAACCGAATTTTAAACGCATCTTAAAGTTAAGCTTTTTTTTTACAGCCAATGAGATAAACAAGTCTTTAGCATTTGAAGTACCAATTTTATTTCTTTATAATTTAAAGGAGGGTCACATAGATCCTATTTTTGATAAATAAATTATTAAAATTTTTGTAAATTTGAGAACAATTTGATTTTTTAATATTCCATGAAGGGGAAGGCCTATATCAAGAATAATTCCAGGATAGCAAGGGTAAGATTTTATTTATTGTAAAATCTCGAACAATTTCTACAAACCATACTGACAAACTACTATAATGGGTTGAAAAGGGAATGCCCTTATTCAATTGTATATAAATTATAATGATAGATAAAAAAAAATATGTTTAAATTTATAAACCGCATCACAATGGATTGGGTGTACGGCAAATAGCAATGAGGCGTGAAGGGATATTTGATCCGACGAGCTTAAATCTTTATCGTTTTTCATCAATGCTTTGCATATGCTAAGAGCAAAAAAATTCTTTTTAAAAGAAATCAAGTTTGTATAAATTGATACAAAATAATAAAAATTTCTGTTGTAAAAAAATATTATAACCAAAAAAATTTCACGCCAATTTGCATCCATTTAATATTTTCACATAAAATAAAACCATATCTTGGTTTTTTTTATATGCAACAACATATATTATTAATGCAATTACTACAATAAAAAAAAATAAAGCCAATAAAAGATAAATATGATCTAAAAATATTTCCCTCGATTTAAACCTATAATATTTTATCTATTACATATTATATTTTTTTATGTATAAATTATTATTCGTAAATAATGCACGTAAACGAATTATACTATTAATTTATATATATATTATACAATTTGCAATTTTTATGTCAGAACGAAAATCAAAATTAATAAGTTTATTCACACATAAGCGGCAAAAATAAAATTAACAGATACATACATTGACATAAAATATAAATATTTTATTTATTAATAGCTTTCATAGCTAAAAAAAAAAGTGATCGATGTCCCAATAGGGGAAAGATCATTAAGTCGTAAAATATAGTCAATATCTACATGAACGAGAGAAAGATGGTAGGGTCAGGATCATGTTACCACCATATAACTTACACTGAATGAGGAAGAGGGTAAATCATGGCGAGTTACCTGCAAATTATTTTCTCTTATGTGGACATTGATTATAATATATATATATATATAAGTCACTAAATTATTTTTAGTGTTCTCTCTTCAAATTTTGAATTTTGGTTAAATTGAACTTAAAAATTTTATAAAATTGGATGTATTTTCTTTGAAGTATCTGGTCGCACAAACTAGAACGCAATTAAGAACAAATTATAGGCTAGGGGACCTTATTTTTCGCATTCGAACTGGGTTTTATAAATTATGTTCTTAAACTTAAATCTCGAATATAAAATATTTTTTTAATGTGAAATCTTTCTTATTTTATTTATCACTGTATTTAAATTTTTTCTATTAGGCTTCCACGATATTTATTTTTTATTAAGTTAACCGCTAAATCTTATTAAAATTTATTTTTTAAATTATAAGCTTATAAGCCTTCATTCTTTTTTATCGATAAAATTTTCATTTAACATACAATTTTACATGGTGGATATATTTTTAAAACTATTGGTCAAAATAACCCCCTATCTTCATTTTGTTATATTATTGCAAATCAAATTACTGTTAATAGAAAAAATAAAGTATATATTATACAGTCAATAAATTTTTATTACTTTGATCTTTTTTTATATACTATTTATTTTTACTAAATTGAATTCTAGTAACAATACTATATTTTGGTTTTCAATACCAATTATTAAGCAAACCATTCGATTACAATAAAAAATACGAATCGAATACCAATTATTAGTTTTAGGTATAAGATATAATATTAATAAGTTCGTCATCAAAAAAATTATTCCGTTTGATGATATAAGAATATAATTGCGTAAAAATAGTTTATGAATATATATAATTCGTAATTTAATAAATAAATAACAAATTGTGTCATTTTTGGTTTAGAGGAGTGCTATGAAATAGTTTTTTGTTCAACTATAAAGAAAGGTTTATTAAAGTAAGATATAATAAGCATTACTTCGATTCAAAATTTTTTTTTTTACAAAATGGCTCTTCCCCTGAAATTCGAGTATTATTTACAATATTACCAAGAAGCACACTTAAAAGCTAAATTAAATTACCAATTCTAATTCCTGATGTTTAGTGAAATTTAAAATGGTTCCATGCTTAAAAATAAATCAAAATAATATCTTATTTTTTTAAAAAATAATAAAAGTTGTATATCTTAAAAATCCCTTTATAAGTTTAATTAATTTTTAAAAAAATAATTTCGATTTTCATCATATAATAGTTCCCTCGAGGATATATATATATAGTATAAATATATTGTAACATTAAAATATAATAGTACAATTTTTTAATAAATCACAAGGTAAGGGGGTAATTGAACGATTTCAAAATTATTCTCATTACTTATATTTATAAAATAAACTTCCATTTTGTAGCTATTATCGAGATAAATTATTTCGTTCTTATATAAAATTCTTAAGCGACTACAACTTGAATGATAGCCAACGTTAATTACTAAATATGCCTAACTTTCCCACCCTCCCACCTCAATATTCCTGATATAGGCAGGCCCCTCCAAGTGCATATAAGCTTATCTAATTATAAATATAATATTAATTTCATTTTTATACACCAAAAATAAATCAAAAATAATTTGTCAAGAGATTAAAAAAAAATAGGGGAAGATTTATGTTTTATGACACTTAAAAAGAGGGAGGCTTTAAAAAAAATATCCCTCTCATATTATATTTTGTAATTTCTATCCTTTACTGAACTAATCAAGCCCACAAAATCGATATATACTATTTTTGTTTTATAGTTATAAGATTTTTATTTTTTTCTGTTAAAATATTTATAAACCAAACTTTTTACTTTTATATAGTATTTAGTTTTTTTGCTAAAATGATTTATAACTATCTTATTTAGCCTGGTATATAGACAAAAAAATGGGAAGGGAATGTATTCAAAATAAATTTTATAACAATTGGAAATGTGCTTAAAAGTTATTAAAAATTATCAATAAAACACCTATAGCCAAAAATCGTATTCCTTCCCAGTCATAATATTAAAAAATATTAGATTCTTCATTCATATGATAGTATCTGTAGATTGGACCGAATGGATTTTTTTTAATTACTTATTTATTAGTAAATAACTCTTTTTTTTAAAGATTCTAATGTTAGATATACTCATTTGACCGGGCAGTATGAGCACAAATGAGTATAATATAAGTTGCTGTTAATCATGTCAATTTAAAATGTTAGATGTTGTAAAATAAAATTTTCATTTAAAATGGAATCAATGCAGCTTTAAAAAATTTATTAATATATAATATTAAATTTTCGGACCGGAGTCGTGTTGAATAATTTTTAATCGGACCTTAGCGGGTCAGGCCTAATTTAATTGCAATTCAGGCAGGGAAGGCCGGACTTGTGAAATGCAGGTCTTTAGTAACAACCTTCAATGTGATCTAAATATTATTTTGTATAATAATAGAATTGTATTGAATATAGCGAAAACTTATTGACGGTTTTCTAGATTTACTCGAGTAAGCCAGTTTCCTCTCTGTTCATTTATCTCAACTTTTTATGATCCTGAGGGTCGCTATTTGTAAAAACACATTGTTTGCATGTCACCCCTTATCGCTTTCATTCATTACATCGTTGGTCTTCCTAGAGGCCATGATCCTATCACTTCCAACGATGTATCTCTCAACCCAATCATCTTACGTCTTTCATTCAACGTGCCCAAACCATCTCAATCTATTTCTTCTCATTTCCAATCGCTTCTACATCAATTCTTTTCCGCAATTCGTCAATATAGTGAACTAAATTTCTGATACTCTCTATTAAAAATTCTTTGAATTTTTTTATCAATATTAATCATCTATCTTTGTTCACCAAAATTTAACCGCCATTGAATGATCACGATATACATTATGGTAGTTTGGTTAGATTGTATGTATTATTTGCATTTTTTTAAAAAAAATTGTGCATGAATTTTCTTTTATAAATTAATTTATGCATTGTAAAAAATTCATATTTAGAAAAGATATTATATTTATAATGTATTAATTCTTTAATATTAAAATAGAATAACGTTCAAGTTATTAATGCCATAAATTACAAGGTGGCATATTTTGTGACTCTAGAAACGAATAGAAAAATTGTCGTAATTTATGAATAAATTATATAATTTTGACCACGCATTGAATTTGAATAAATTACTGACAATATTAAATATTTTTCATATAATATATTATACAATTATTTTTGATATACACTGCCAACAATATGACTATGCGAATCATATTTTGTTAATTTGCCATCCAATAGTGTCCCCCTGATTTCTAAAATTTATGCCAATGTTTCATACTATAAGTGTCTAGTAGAATAGTAGCAAATATAAAGGTGAAAATTATTAAAAAAATGTTAGCAATAAAATTCCGGGCAATCTTAAGATTAGAACACGACTGAAAGCATTTATTCTGAAAATTTTATTAATGTCTAAAGAGAAATAAAGTTAATAGCAAAATTATAAAAAAATTTCAATATTTGTATCATGCCAGAATAAGAACTAAATCAATCGAGCTTTTCAATCATTTTTTCGAACCACAAAAAAAGAAAACCTAGTTATAAAATGAAAACTGTCAAGTTTTCAGAAATACTAATTCTAAAACTTGTACTAAATCATTAAGTAGTGCTTAATTAGTATTTAAAGAGGGAAAAAGTCAATGGGAAAAATTAAAAAAATATTGCCAAATCATCATATCAGAACGGGTTTGCACTCACTCTTTACTTAATAATTTTTAAATCAATTTCGCCAACTCAACTAACAAAAAATTAACTGATGAGCCAAGCAAAAACTACTATATTGCCCTTCAGAAAATAAATTAAACTTTATTATAATTGGTTCAAAATGTGTAGTGTGCTAAGAACAAGCAAAAACGTTTCTTTTAAACTGATCTAAATAAAAAAAGTTGACTATTTAGCAAGTCATATTAATTATCACAGCTTATTCATATGATATAACATTGATTTAAATTTTAGTTTTATATTTTGATTATATATATTTATAAGCTTACCGCTAATGTATCCAGCCTAAATTGATGTATATCAATTTTAATAAGTTTACATAGCACTATAAATTATTTAAGTTTTAAAAATTTTCTCATAATCTGGGTCCTAACCTATATGACACACAGATATATATATTTTACTATTCATTTTACCTGTGAACAAGCAGGCACACACAATAATGCAACAGTACGTTGACCAAATGGAAATAAGTAGGGTTCAGTCCACTCATGACATAATTTAGCTTGAAGGTAAAAGTTGACAAAGGTCTGTAAGATTTATGGCTTGTAACCTTAACAATTATATAATTTTATTTAAAAACATTATTTATATTTATTTTTAAATTAAAATTTATGGCACAATTAAATAACTAAGGGATTTGAATATTTCATATATATAAATATTATGCAGCATGTATCTATAAATTATATTCATAACATTGTGTGTATATAATATAAATCTATTTAAGATAATTTATTATCACCATCACACCATCGAACCAGCAAGAATAAATTATATATTTTTTTGGACTAAAAGCTTATTTTTATTATATTATTAAATACATAATTAATTAAAAAGATATATATAATAATAATATAGTATTATAATGTTTAAAAAAATATCAAATCAGTATAAACTGTAAATTAATTAACCGATAATTTATTATATACATGAGTTTATTTGTTATAAACATAAAAAAATATACAGCTTCTTTTAGTTCATTAGAATCAATCAACTATATCCTTTTCCAACATCATACTATCTAATTTATATATTTTTTAATTAAGTCCATGTTTTAATTAAAATTAGGTGTCATTATAAATCATATGATATTCGTTTTAATTACTTCGTGTATACAGTCAATGATTATATTTTCTTCAAAAACTTTATTTCTACTATTACAAAATGAATAATATAAGTAACATTTATTGTTTTGAAAATTATCCTATAATTATTAATAACTAATCTTTCTTTTCTAAAAGTTTAATGATGACATGAAAGTAAATCCCTTTTTTACTATTATTTTTTTTGCACCCTTACATGGGGAGGTGACTTGTTATTGTAAATTAGATGGCTGCCTACTTTTTTAAAAATGCTTTTATAAGGCAACCCCTATTCAAGTGAAGTATTTCTGTGGTACATAGTTGGTATATATTAGATATGAGCCAGGGCCTAATTTGGTCTAAGGTAGGGCCCTTGAACATAAATAATATGCTATTTATATTTAGTAGTGTCATTTTAAATTTCCAGTTACAACATTCATTCTTTAATAGAATCGCTGGAAAGTGGAAAAAGTTCTTTATAATATCTACCAAATAACTAAATAAAAAGAATCCGAAGATGATAATTGAGTATATGCAGAGGGCTCCTCAAATTGAATTCTCACTAAGAGGGCCTTGCAAACAAAAGAAGGCCATTTCATTTCATTTTGATTATGTTTTCTTTTATTTATTTTCTTAAAGCCATATTTCCTATTAAATAATTGAATATTTTAAAATGCAAAAGCGGAAAGCGTCAAAACGGAGAGAAACATTAGATTACATTCTTTATGGGAATCGAAATTGAGAGAAAACATTTATAAATGGGAGTTTATTAAGGTAAGCCGCTTATTTTTTCAGACAGAACGAATCGCGGTAAATCGATCGATAAAATAATTTACTAATAGCTCAAAAAATTTTTTTTACCCTTTTCATCTAATATATTATTTTAATTAAAGAGAACAAAAAATTAGGCGGTCTTTTTCTATCTTAGTTCTGACGATTTTATTGAGTTAGATTAAATATTGATTATTAACGTTTAATGGTCAAATTGGATAACAACTGCCTGTTACTCAAATATTAATAGTCATAATAAGCTAGAGTTAAAAAAGGAACTAAAAATTCTAAGAAAATAATTTTAAAAAAAATATTTCAATAAAACAATTTTATTTTAAAATTTAAATTTTCACTAAAAAATATTACAAAGTACTAAAATAGTTCAATCAATCACTGCTTTAAAGATAATGATCTAAGAATTTAATAACGTTCACATCTATCATTCAATTTTGTTTTTTAAAAAAAGGAAAATATATATAACTTATATTGTCCAGATGACACGACGAAACCTATCAATATAATATAGATGTGATGATGAGTGTTCTATATCAATATCAGCTGAACTTAAAAATCCATCCGATACTTTCGTTCATATTTTGAAAATTATCTATGCTCATAATCACTCACGAGTCATAATCATTAACCCTGTTTCTACTCTATTACTCAACACTAGTAAAAATTCAAATAAAGTTTACACTATAAATATTCCAAAAATTAATAAGAATTATTGAAAACAAAGAAAAATTAAACTGAAATAAGCTCTAATCCGGAATTCTTTATTTCAGATTAATTACCATATATCAACATGTCCTTAGGAATTTATCAAAGTTAATATTTACTAAGGTCGATAATTAAATTTGAAAAATATCTTTGACCGAAAATGCATTTCAGAATGTGCAGTAGGGTACCTACCAGCCCCAGAGCTCTAAGAAGGTGGGGCACAAAGGAGTCAAGTCCCTCTTCACAAATCTTTTTGCCCTCAATTTTAGGCCCAAAATTTGTTTCTAATGGCTTATTAAAAAATAACCCCCCCCCCCCCAATAAAAAAATTTCCTAATAAACTTTTGCCCCCACCCATTCTCTTCAACTGTCCCTAGTTAAGGGCTTTGTACCTACTCCACCCTGAATTCCAAATCACCTCTTCTCTTCAACTGAAGCTCCCTAGTTAAGGGCCATGTACCCTTACCCTGAATTCCAAATAATTTTTACCATAAACTTTTTGTGAAAATTTACAAAGTATTCAAAATTTCACGGTAAAATTGTCAGAAATTTACAATGTGAGTATTTACTTAAAAAATAGGAGAGTTATAAAGGAAAATTTAAAACATTATTATCTTAGACGTTGATGATGAATTATTAATTACAAACATAATATACATCAAGATTTTAAATTATTTATTTCATGAACCATTTATTTCTACCTTATAAAACAACTGCATTCTTATTTTTTTTTAGTCAGCTATAACCAGGTCAAACAGAAGTGAGCTAATACAATTTTTTTAGTGTCGACACCCATCTTGAACCTCCTAGTATAGAGGAGATTCATTATATTATAAAATCATATTTTTTGGATTTTTAATGCCACAAGAAGCCAGTATCTTGGCCATATTATAATATTTATTATTATTATAGGATCGTGATAATTAGTCCCCTTTTTTATCATGAAAATTTTATCGGCAAAATGAATAAAAATTATTTGTAGTATCATGAAAAAAAAAATTATTCTCAATTTTTTATTGCTTTTATATGATTAGATGTGGTATATATATAAATAAATAATATGTAACCATAACTAATAAATAAAATAGACATTTTTTTATTGTAACTACAATATCTCTATACATAGTATATTGTAGTATACATATACATAATGTGACAATGTATCATTGACAATAGAGTGCGACTGCGAGTAATTAAAGTTAATTAATGTGCTTCTGAATGATTTGACATTTTTTGCTTTGTTTGACAAAACTGGTATCATTATAAAATAATATTTCTTTTATGTATTAGCTTCCTTTTTTAAAAGTATTATATTCTTAGTTCATGTTTCTCATATAAATATACAAATTTTTATTATATCATGGTTGAACAAATTGAAGGATAATTATGTTTAAAAAATTTGTTTTCTTTTCTCAAACTCCTTCATCTTCATTTTTTTAAAATATTGTTTGAATAGAATAAACATTACTTTATATTAGCGTTGTTAAAAATTCTGATTTGGTCTATTTTTAAAACGGCCCTAATATTTTACCCAAAATAATATTATGTAAGCCTGGAGATTTTGTTCATAGATGACAAAAAGGTTTTATTTGAAAAATCTCGAGGTTTACATCTTATCATTTTGGCTAAAATCTTAATCGGGTCGTTTTTAAAATCTACCTTGGCTTTTTAACAACATTACTTTGTATTTATATTGAGAGCAATCAATTGTTTGATTTATCAAGAATCAGAAATAGGAAACAGACGTAGGCTAGCAAATCATAGTTCTTGTAAATATAACTTTACATATCAATTGCAAGGATATAGAGTGAACCGAACCGCTATACAGGTATGCGCCTTATAATTTTTCTGAACCATCAAATCGCTCTTAGTAGCTAACCAAAACTCTATATAATTTTTTAAACCGGGTTAAACACGTTGTTTTATATATATACCTATATTAAAATTTAAGACCCATAGTATATTTATACATTTACATAATTTATTTATAGCCATTGACTAAAATATGCATATTATTAAATATTGTAGACTTTTGGAGCACATATTGGTTATACTTAACTTTGTTATTATATATCATGTGTATCGCATATTTCCTCAATAAAACCACGTTTTTATGTGTCTTTATTTTTATTTTAAACATTTGATATGAATACAAATATTACAAAATTAATTTTTACCTCCCCTCCCCCCAAAAAATAAAATAAAAATTCTAAAATCACAACTGAAACCTATTAAAATTTAGGCAGCTTAATGCGTCTTGAACCTTAATCATCGAACCGCAACCTTTATAGATAACAATTCGGGTCCTTGGTCTATAGAATATAGATATAAATCATATATCGAAATCATTCCCTATTTCTGTTAACCTTCAAATTTACATTCCTAGAAGGGATATGGTATTTTGGTTTTAAATTAAAAATACAACAAAAAGTTTTACATATTATATCTTCTAACTTATTAACCGAGCTTATACAAAATCACGTTTTATGTAATATTGATTTTGTTGATTGATATTATATTGTAGTTTATATTGTGGTGTGAAATAATGATATTAAGTGATTTATAGATCTTTTGCTATTTGACGAAAAAATAATTTTATAATTTATATTTAAAAAATTTTAAATTGGATGATATCATAGAATAATAATTGTTTAACATAATACTAATTTTTACTTATCAGAGAAAATGAGAGGTAAAAGATAATTATTTTTAAGATTTTCGAAACACGAAGTAAATTTTGTAGATATTTATTTATAAAAAGGAATTTAATAAGAAAGAGGACGGTTTTTTATGCAATTATGCCACTTTTTCTTGGTTTTTTAACTTTTCCAGTTTATAATAATAAATTTTAAATGTCCCTGCGAAACTGCATAATCAGGTGTATTTGTATTGTGTAGTGTAAATTATATTTATGTAAATTAACTCACACTTCTGATAGAATTTCCCCAGTAATCGTGTTTCCAAATATTGATCCAACTTTTGAGATCTTTCGAAATCACATCGGGATTATTGACTATGGCTGGTATATCATCGAATACGAAATCTCCTTGGAAAGCATTGCTATAACACATTACAACCGTGATCAATAGAATTATCCATGGTTTTGTAATAAAATTATAGAAAGCTTGAGATAGATAGGGCCAATTGAATGATGGATGTCTACTATAATGCGAAGGAGCAGGTAAAGAATTTTTTTTCAGCGGTTGCCGCATTTTTTATACCTAGGTTACTGTTTTTTGAAAGACGATTTAGAGATGTCGGAGCTCATTTTTAAGTTCAAACAATTGATATCTTTATTTTTTTTTCGAAAAGAAATTGAAACCTATTTTTTTTTATATATAATTAGAAGTCAATTTTTTATACATTTATTTTACCAAAAAAGGAAAATATATCATTTTTAAAATTTTTTGCAAAAACTGGTTTACAAAAAAAAATAGTGAAAAAAAAGTTTGAAAATTTTTTTTTAGATACCTTAAAAATATAATATTATAAATGAGTGTATTCAGTAAATGTTAAACTAAATCATATAATAACCCATTTATTATCTTAAATAAGGTTGGTATAATCTAGCTCAAGCATGGTCCGAATGGATAAGCTTGAAAAACTGATAATGTAAATCATTTAAATATTTCAATTGTTCTCTTATTATTTTTTGAACATAAAAATAAAAAGTTTTAAATTTTGTTTTAAGCATAAAGAAAAGATATAAGAGAGCAAACAAAAGTGTTATGTGATACTAGTCGATAACTATTTAATAAGTAATTCTTTTATATTTATTTTTAAAGTGGAATTTGTAATACATATATGTAAAACTACAGTTTCCACATTTTAAAAATAAATTGAAGAATTATTTTAAAAACAAATTTTTCTCTTTTTATGTTTTTCTTTCTTATTTTCATTGTACATATTCCTCAGAAAAACTACTTAAACTTTTTGACATGATAAATCACGCTCAGCTGCCCAAGCATATGATAATAAAAAGTGGCAAAATTCTTACATCAAATGATAATTAAAATGAATATGTAATACTTTTTAGAAACTGTGGGTGGGGGAGGGGTTCAAAAACAATAAGAATTCAGAATGACACTGTTATAGGGCAACAAGAGGCCCAGGCACCCTAAAAATTGCGATGGGCCTTTTAAAAAGTTTTAACATAAATTTTTTTAAAAAGAAAATATATACTATGAAATATCTTCTCTTTTTCAAAAATAGAAAAGGCTGGTGACCGAAACTATATAGGGTTGATAAAATAATAATATTAAAGTTAGTTTTATGTTAGTCATATCAAAATATCGCTCTTTAGACATTTATATAATATTTTAAAGAATATATAGATTATCTAAAAATAATTATATTATTGTCTGGGGCCTTATAAAACTTTTAAAAATGATAAAATATTACCTTTTAATGTATATACCTGTTTGTTAGAATATAAATACCCTTTCTCTTTTTTAATGCTATTATGATGAAATTACAATCTATTCATTAATAATAAATATTTTATTTTAGTTTCTTAAGTAGACTAATCTCCCATTAAATTTAAATAAAAGTATAGAAATCGATAATATACAAATTTCTCTTAAGTTTTCCTATATTTATTATCCATTATTGAAGAAGGAGGTAAGTGTTGTTTGACAAATACTCCTGAAACGATTTTAATATAAAATATCAAGAGTTTTTTTTTGCAAGTCCTGCCAGGACTTGTTGAAAAATATCCGACAAGAAAGACACGGATGTAACATCTAAAAAAATAAAATTACACTCCTAGTTAAAAAAAATCCTCTTGGTTAATTCTGAGGTATTTTTTCAAGGTATTAAGTTAACCGGCCATTTTTAGCTGATTCTAAAAACAAATAACATCCCCTCAGGCTCGTGGATTAGGCTCAACTTTGAAGAAGGTGGGGGGAAAAATAAACCACTCCTTAATGTTTAGATATATTTTTTAAGAATGCTCCTTTAAATGAAGCCGATAACTCAAACCTAGGCCGGCCTATTCAAAAGAAGCGACTACGAATGGAATAATTCACTATTACTAATTATACCAATCTAATAAAAATACTATATATTTTACTATTCATACGAATATGATTAATAAATTTTTTGATTCCAAAAGAAAGAATACGAATATATTCAATCTTTATTCGTTTTGAATTGACCTACTCAAACCCTCACTTTATATTTAGGATTTAAATCAGAGACCTGGGTCCAGCCAGACTCGCTCGGACCAGCCGGCCCAATTTTTTAAATATGCCAGGGCTGGGCCTAATTTTTTTTTAAAAAATACCTGGGCCCCTATATTTTAAAACCAATATTTTAAATCGCCATTGTTAGCTATAAAAATTAAATATATTTTTTTTTAAATCCGGGTCGAGTCATGCAAGCGGGGACCTCTGCTGGTCTCTAATTTAAATAACGATTATAATTTTATTAATATTTATAGTTATGAATTTAATTACATAGAAAAAATGTTGAGTTTCGAGTTTCTAATTTAAGCAAAGCTTTTTTCCCTAATCATTTTTTGGCATTAAGAACGTCTCTGAATTTTGATTAGTCCTTTAATAAATCAAACATTTATCATTGTTAATTAAACACATTTAAAAATTTATACAATTAAGATAATAATATATTTAAAAAAGATTAACCATAAGGAATACCATCTTTTCCTTCTCGAGATATGAGAGGAACAAATATAATTGAACTAATATAACGTAACCAGCCACACGTCAAAATTAATGAATTACATCCCTTTCAATTTAATTTTTTTAAATTTCAAATCGTTTTTTATAAAAAATTAAATAATCATCATTATAATATATATAAAAAATTGCATACCTTTTGATTTAGTATTTTTTTTGTTTGAAGTAAATAGACAAATTTTATGAATAAAAATTTAAGCGGGATTTTCTAATAATTTTGTTTGTTTTAATAGAGTTAAATAGAGAAAAAAAAGGTGCTTAATTAATTTTATTAGAATATCAAGGTTTCTGCATCCTCGCTCGTTTTTTTTCTTTTTCTTTAGAATTCCAAAAAGCAGTATGTAAGTCCAGCTGATTTTCTGAATGGAATATTTTATTCAGAATTAAGAACAAATCGCTTTTTTAAAAAAATGACATTAATTAAAGCTTAAAGAAATTGGTGAAACTTTAACGAATAATTTCATAAATTCCTTGATTGTTAAGTTCAAAGAGTTAAAAGCAGAGCTTTATGAGTTTTTGACTTGCGTCAAGACAAGCCAATCGTTCGTAAAATTGTAGGATCATTAGAATGATATTTAAAATCTTTATTCGCCCTTTTTTAATGCTGTTTAAAATCTCGTAGGCCTCAGGATTTTTTTAAGAGGGCTAAATCATTTCGCCAATTTTTTGGCAAAAAACTAGTTAGTATTATTTTGGCTAAAATATTCATTTATCCTTATCTAAAAATATGGATGAGAGGTTCTTGATTCATCAAGCCATCCTAACAAATCTATGAGTTTATTTCTTAACATATGAAAATTATTATATATTTTAACCCTTATATCTGTTAGAACTTACAACAAATAAATGACATTTTCTGCTCTAAAAAGAATAAAACTTAAAATGAAACCTCAGAAGATAAATTGAATGGGTTACCCCTTCTATACACATGAAGAATTTACACCAAATAGAAAAATTAGTTTCATCAAAATATAAAATTTCCGTAAATAAATATTTTGCCTGATAAAAATTTCTTAATTATATTTTTATGTAATTATCAATTGTTTTTAACATCTTAATTTTTAAAATATGTTTGATGTATTAGAAAATGGGCCATTTTTTCTAGCTCACATTTATCTTATATTGGTTTGTAATAATTAGGTAATCGCTCCACTTTTTCGCCTTTAACCCAATTCCCCAAAAGGCGAAATCGAGCTTTTTAACTAAAACTCGATATCAATTTATTTTATAAATTTAAATATTTTATAACAGAATTTTTGTGAATAAATTTATTACATATAATTTTACAGATTATTTCGGTATTATAAATTGTCAAATTTTTTTTCCCACTTATTAATAGAATTTTACGAAATTTTTTATGTTCATTTTAAGAATATTTTAAAGAAGAATTACTCTCTCCTCCCCTTCGAAAGCAAATTCATGGCTACGTGCCTGGGTAATATATATAATTAATAGTAATAGACAATGAAATTAAACTTGTTTGGCTTGAAGAAAGATAATATAATGATAAGAAGCAATAAGAATTAATAATTTTGATTCTCCATGATTTAAAAATAATATCTAATCAAACAAATATCGCTTTAATTTATAATTTATTTTAAGAATCAGCAATCAATAAATTTATTTTATCATTAGTAAATTTTATTGATGATAATTTTTTTTTTTAAAAAACATCTATATTAAATGAAGAGTTTGGAGATAGCTTGGCTATATTATTGATAACATTAACAATAGAATATATTATTTTTTAGTAATTATTGATGGATGAAAAAAAAATAATTATTTTTTATTTTGTATTTAATATTTTATAATGATCGATACATTTTTTTTTAATGATAAATAAATTTATATTACCAAATATTAAATTAATGTAACGACAATATTTAAATTTGTAAAAAAAATTATTATTATTTACTACTACTATGGTAACTATGTAATAAAATAAAAATAACTATAGTACCATCATACTAGCCTACCTTATATATGTATTATATCAATAGTAGAAATATTAATTATAAAAAAAATAATTTATTAAATGGGGAGACAGTTGTTTTGTTTGTAGTTTTATTATATTCTCCTAACCATCCATAACTTTTTTTAAAAATAAATGAAGATTTCTTTTATAATATGAATATTTTATTAAGCGAAACTCTGCTGAATATTATTAAATATATTTACTTTTACAATTTATTTTATTTCAGTAGAAAGTAAAAGAGTATTATTTTTAACTTTATTACACATATTATTATATCGGAAACCTGCAGACTCTTTACCCAAAGTCGTGGCCTAGATTTAATTTTAATCAATGCTGTTAACGCTACTTAAAAAAAATTAGAACATTATAGCTATAACTACTTTTCAAAAAAATTGCTCGCTATAGCTATTATTTTAATAGCTATTTTAATAGCTACTTTATATTTTTTCACTTAAATAATGGGGATGAAATATTACAGCGCCATCAGACGCGTAATTCATGAAAGAATTTTTTAATGATTTCATAATTGTTTGGTTTCAACTGCCTATGTACATTAAGCTAACACTCATTTTCATTTATTTTCAGATGTATTTCTTCTCAGTAGTGTTGTTAAACGGCTCTATTTGTGCCGATTTTTAGATGAGTAACTTACTATTTTATTTAGGAAAATATTACAAGATCTCGAGGTTTTGCTAAGATTTTTGTGCCTATATAAGCAATATCTTCAGGTTTGCCCTTGTCTAATATTTTTTTGAATATAATATTGAGTTAGCCTTTTTTAAAAATTGGCTCAAATCGAGCCAACAACATTACTTCTCAGGTATGTTTTTATACTTATTAAAGAAGAAAATGTTCTTTCATTGGGTAAAGTACTAATGGATAGAGTTGCCAAAATATGAAATAATTTTTATTTATTAGGAAAATAATCAGAAATGTGTTTGAAATTATGCAAAACACTCATGGCATTTTTTGAAACATTATCAGCTACAGACTATTATTATGCTCGTTTTTTAGGTGATATTTTCTTTAGAGTTTAAAAATGATAAAATATATAGTTCCTGAGCATCTATCTCATGATCCCCCCTCTTTGTTTTGTCTTTTCTTGCAAATCTTCCAAAGTTTTAATAAATAAATGAAGGAAGTAAAAGATATTGTATAAATTAAATTTTTTAAAAATATGTCCATTGTATTTATTTAAATTATAAACAAAAATTAGTCACCAGCATTTTAAAATATTAATTAATTTTTTTTTAAAATAAGATGCTATTTTTTTTAGCTATAGCTACTCGAAAAGAAAAATAGCGCGGTGCTATTAATAATCTACTTTTTTTTATAAAAATAACATCACAACCGATACTTACTTAAAAAATATAGCAGGCTACAAGTATCGCGCAACTCTTAATAGCATCAGCATTGATTTTAAATAATACAGTCTATTCCAATTACACACGCTATATTGACTAACATAACTAACTAGTTGAGAAATTACAAGATGGATTATTTAAATAGTCATTATATTGCTTAAAAATTGAGCATTAAGATTTAGAATTTTTTTTATTATATGCATTATTTTTACTTAAATTTTTGAATGTATTTTTAAATGTTTATAATCTATTTTTAAATGGAATTTTTTTTAAAAATTAAAAGTAAACTATTTTGACTAAGGCTAAATAAAAAGTTTTATAATGAATAATTTTAAGATTAAGGTAGTAATAACAAGTTGATAACATTTCCCTACCCACTCGATTTAATGGTGTCGGAATGAATTTTGCCCACTATTCTGCTTGTATCATTTTACCAATTTAAATTTCCTTCGAATCAAATGTATAGTCAAATTTATATTTAAACTAAAACAATCTTCAAGATGGCTATTGGGATTTCCATTTTAGGTTAAGATGAGAAAAATTTTAGTTCGGATTCGGTTTAGGTTAAGTAAATAATAGCGGTTAATATCGGATAATTGTTCAGTTTCAGTTTGGGTTCCAATTTTTTTATATTCTATTTAAATTTTCTAACCATGATTGTAAAAATAAACCCAAACTATTTTATCGTAAATAAAAAATTTAGATAAATAAAATTAGTGGACTTCATTTTTGATCATGAGCCGATCAGTTTCTATATAAAAAATTGTTAACCTCTGAAGATTATTTAAAATAAAAATTTTTTAAAATGAAGATCTTTTTAAAAGAATATTTTTTTGAAAATGTTCAAACAGAATAGATAAAATTTTATCTAATTCCTAATTTTTTTTTTGTAAAAAAAATCTTATTTGATTTTTATTCATAAAAAATCTTTCATGATGAAATCAGATTTATTTTCTTTTCTTTTAAAAAAAATCTATATTCTCCTCCAACAATTAATTAACAAATAAAGAATATCCGAATTATTTATCATTATGTCAGATAGGCTTATAGCCTGACTTTCAAATTTACTTACCAATATTGAAAATTAACTATGGGCCTTCTAGGTCTAACAAATGCAGGAGTAGATACAATTGTATTGTTTCATTGAAATTACAGGTGACAGGTTAATATCTGAGTCAGCATATTTGTCAGTATCCAAGGAGTAAGAAGAGGCTTGCAGCAATGTATTGGATGGGGCCTAGAGGGTTCTGGCTAACTAAATTATTAACTATAGCGAGATTTTACAGTATACATTATATTTTTAAAATTATAGATATAAAATAGGAAAATGAAATAATTTAAATTATACAATTATAAAAATGTAATATGAAAGAAAATATATTTCATTTTTACTACATCAAAGTAATGTCTATGAATTAATTAATTACATAATTATAATAACTTTTTAATTTATTATAAATAGATGCTGCACTAGAAAATTTATAAATTTATAAAATTATCATTAAATTAATATTTTTATAAAAAGTAGTTTGCTTTTATAAACGCTAAGTGAAAGAATGTACGTTTATATTGTATTGTATTACACCAAGATCATTGTAGAATAAACCAAGACCAACACCATATTTTATATAATAGATTATATAATGTATCAAAATAAAACCATACATTAATTTCGCCAGATATACAAAATATTAGTAGAGAGTCGGTAATAAATTAAAAACACATTTAAAAAAAATTCTGTTTAATATCACGTTTTATACTTTTAGTCCTTTCCTGTCAACTAATTATACTTTGCTTTCTAAAAAATATATAATTTTATAATACGTAAAGTAATATATTGTATATTTTATAATATTTATCGACAATATTTATGGATTTATAAAATACATTTTAAAAAATATAAATAAATGTAATAACTTGGGAAGAAGAGATCCCTCAAAGTCGATGATGTTAAAACCCCCCTTTCTTAGGGATAAAATTATTCAATTATAAAATGAATACAGACCAAGTGGGTTGATTAAAATTCCCATAGACCCCGGTAATTTGTATACCCCTTCTGCAAAGGAGATGATAAAATAAAGCACCAGTGATCTTGCATTGCTCCGCGGAAGATCCTGGAAAGGGAAATGGGCTCCAAAATTTTTGAATACTCTTCAGATAGAGATTGTTATGAGATCCCATATTATTTTTTGGGCAAAAGAGGGCAAAAATTATTCCCTACAAGAACCAGCGTTTAAAAAAGTTATAAATTATTTAATATTTGTATTTAAAATATTAAAAGTTTAGAATTATCTTATATTTATAGTTTTTTATTATTATATCATGATAAACTAAATGATGGGTGTAAAATTATACAATTTAAAATTTGTAAATATTAATTTTGTGATTCAAGTTAAACGAAATAAAATCAAGATTTATCTGTTTGTCCATATGGGCAACATTTATGCTGGAAATAAAACTAAAGTTATAAATGTTTTTGAAGATGATATAGAATTAGAAGATATAGATTCCAGTTCGACCAACGGTTAAGAAATTATTTTGTTTATAAGATATTTTTAGCAGAGTATTTGGAAGACATTTTATGAGGGTATTTAGTAGTTATATTTAAAATACATATTTTATTATATGTGCTTATATATTCAAATACATTTTTTTGAAAAGCTGCCCAGATCAACACAACAATAATTTAAAATCTATATTTCAATTTTCAAACCTATATTAAATGTAATTCTTAGTTAAACTGTTACTTATAGTTCATCATTTGCATCGGAAAGTAAATTAAGATTATCTTTTGATACATTTATTCATAGTCAAAATATTAGGGAAAATTGTTAAACCTAAGCACAATATAGTTTATTCTTATTGCAACCGTCGCTTTTAAATGTAGTAATAATATTGAAATTGTATAGTTATTTTATTTATTTTTAATTATATATTTTTTTTATAACATCTGTTAGTTATCGATAAAACTCAATATTCAATACATTAAAATCCTATATTTTAATATTAAACGTAATTCAATACTTTTAATCATAAATTGGTTTTTTAACCATGATTTTATTTTCATTTCGTCAATTATTCCTTCTCAGTTCTTATCATATTATATTATATTATGTTTATTATAATTATGAACAAAAAAACCAATTGTGTTTTTATTTTAGTATTATACTATACTATATGTGATAAGTTAAACTGGAATAATGGTTAATTCGAAATCCTCCAGTGGTGATTTGGAATCTTT